GTCATGGTGTGTTAGGAAATGCAATAAAGATCAGGTGGGATCTTGGTCTACCTTCCTACAAGTGTATGTGAATTTCTAAGTTTAAATGGTCTACTTCTTGCTTTGGTTTGTTTGTTTGTTTATGTCTCTCTGTGGAGCCCTGGCTGGCCTCAAACTCATAGAGATCTACCTTCCTCTGCTGCCCAAGTGCTGGGATTAAAAGCATGTGCCCCCACACCCATTTTAAAACATCTACTTCTTAAAGTGAGTTGTAATTTTATCCATTCTACTTATTTTGAGACTATTCTACTATTCTAACACATTTTTTCTAATTTTTTATTAAAAAAGTTTTGTTCCTTATCAATCTCATCCAAGTATATAATGCTTTCTGGTTGCGCGCGCTCTCACACACACACACACACACACACACACACACACACACACACTTATTTCCCTCCCATCCTTCCTTCCTTCCAGACCCCCTTCTTCCTTACAGCTCTATTTTTAATGTTTACTAATTTTTGTTTTGTTTAGTGCCCCACAGAGTTTAACTGGGGCTGTCTGTGTGGCCCTAAATTCGGCACCAGCCATCAGGAGCCTAGCGGGCTCAGCAGCGGGTGTAGAGCCACATGCTACGCCTGCCCATCTCACAGTCTGCTTGTTGACAACACATTGGCAGTGAGTTAGACAGATCCCCGCTCCCACCAGAGCTGCCTGTGAGGAGGACATGACTTGTGTGGGCCCAGGGCCAGGAGATGCAGCTCCTGTGAATTCATGACCGCCATGACTGTGTCTTGCTTGGAAGACATCCCCCTTCACAGCTCTTCTCTGTATCTGTGGCTCTTAACATTTTTCTGCCCTCTAAGCCTTAAGGGGTCGTGGGAATGTCTTGCTTAGTACTGATCGCTCAACTGTCCTTTATTCTCAGCATCGCGTGTGGCTTCTCTGTCTAAGGTGGAGAGTAGCCCTCGTTTGGGAGCACTAACACAGATATTTCAGAGGTGGCTTTGTGGTGTATCGGTTCAGCTCAACAGCAACCTTAAATTCCCTACTAGGACCCAAGACTTCTACAGTCACGGGGCTTGGACTGGATTCAGAGTAGGAAGTCTGGGTTAAACTCTATCCCTTTGAATTTGCCCCTGCTACAGTTCCATTTTACAATTGGTTTTCTAATTTCTAAGTTGGATACTTGTATTTTTCAGTCTTCAGTTTTCACTTCTTAAAAACCTTGAGGGTGTGCATTTTCCTCTGAGGCTAGTGTCAGTCTATAGACAATTTCCTGTTGGATCGTGTAATATGAGAAAGCATTTATTCGTTTACAAATAGCTAATCCCCTTTTCTTATTTCTTTTTTTTTTTTTTTTTGGTTTTTCGAGACAGGGTTTCTCTGCGTAGCTTTACACCTTTTCCTGGAACTCACTCTGTAGACAAGGCTGGCCTTGAACTTACAGAGATCCGCCTGGCTCTGCCTCCCAAGTGCTGGGATTAAAGGCATGTGCCACCACCGCCCGGTCCCTTTTCTTATTTCTATGGACAATTTTAATATACTTGCATTGTAACAGGAGAATGTAACCTTAAAATCCTTCCCTCTGGCAATTAGTAAGATTTTGCTGGACTGGAAATGTGGCTCAGTGGTTAAGAGCATTTTCTACTTTTGTAGAGAACAGAGTTCAGTTCCCAACACCCGTATCAGGCACCTCCCAACTGCCAGTAACTCCAGCTCCAAGGGATATAACACCCTCTTCTGGCCTCTGCTAATATCTACATTCTCATAAACAAAACTTACACACACACACATACACACATATACACACACAAATAAGAACTAAATATATTTTTTAAAGAATTTGTTTTGCTTCCTTCCAATAGCATATGCAAATGACTTTGTTGATGATAATGCTACAAGACATTGGCTCCCACAGACTGTTCATCTTTTAGGAAAATTTGTGTGTGAATGTGTGTGTGTGTGTGTGTGTGTGTGTGTGTGTGTGTGTGTGTGTTGGTTTTTTGTTTTGTTTTGTTTTGTTTGTTTGTTTGTTTGTTTGTTTTGAGACAATCTCACTTTATAGTCCAGACCTGACCAAAACTCACTATGTAGCCCAAGGTGGTCTTGAACTCAAGCAATCTTTCTACGTCAGCATCCCAAGAGAGGGGATTACTGGCCTGAGGCACCATTCCCAGCTGATGAAAGCAGTTTTACCTGGTCAAGTGTCCTGTTGCTAACCTCGGAATATGCTTGTGCTTACGTTCTCATAAAACTCCTAAGGGAGAGGATGGAGAGTTGGCTCAGTGGTTAAATGAACTGGTTGCTCTTCCAGTTGACTGGGGTTTGGGTCCCAGCACCCACGTGGTACCTAACAATGTTCTGTAACTCCAGTTCTAGGGGATCTGGCGCCCTCTCTTGTTGTCCTCAGGCATTGCATACATGTTGTGTACATGCCAGCTAAACACCCACCCACATAAAAAATTAAAACTCCAACGAATGGGAAACTGTATGTGTGTGGCAGGATATTTGATCACACTGTGAACCCCAAGATTGTATTATTTACTGGAAAAGCCTGTTTCTAATTGTGGTATGGCTCAACCCTAGCCACATACCTTTAATCCAAGAGCTTTCTGCTTGAGTATTGTAAATAGGATTAAATAAAGTCAACCATAGGTTAAGAGTGGAGCAAGCAACCAGTTGACAGGAAAAAACAGAGTAAGAAGGAGTTGGGAAGACGGATAGAGAGACGCACAGGAAGCAGAAGGGAGGGCCACTCAGTTTGAGGAGTCTTGTTTGAGATGGCATAGGAAATGGCTCTCTTTCTGGGATGTTGGTGGAGGAGGAAGGCCAGCTAGGTGCTTTCTCTGCCTCTCTGAGCTAGCAGGTTTTCACCCCAGCATCTGGCTCCCGAGTCTTTATTGGTGAAATTGAACAATTGAAAATCCATGCATGGATTATAGTTTTCCTTTTACTCTTCTGCTTTTTTAAATCCTACATTAGCAGTTCTTTGTTACAATGGATAAGCCAATACTGATACACTATAACTGACTGACTCCATAATTTATGTTAGATTTTACTCTTTCTATTGTGGGTGTTGACAAATATATATGGACACAAAGTCACTACCTCCATAGTTTTGCCTCTTGGAATGGCATACAATTAGCATTATGGTTATAAAATATTTCCTGGAGGAATGTGTGACTATTTCCCTAGAAACTGAAGAATTCTCACCTGTAGGGAGAAGGGAGTCTCATAAGACTCAGGAAGTCTGCGTGACTTTCACAACTCACTAGGCCACTTCTCCAAGGTAATAAGATTGGCAACAACAGCTGGAGGAGAGAAGGCAGAACTCTCTGAAAGGTGTGTGGGGAGCCCAGGGATGCGGCTTGTGTGGGTCACCATTCATGCTGGGGTGGAGATTTTGGTGACTTAGGTGCCTATGAGTCAACCATGCCCTGCAAGGAACCCCTGTAAACCCGACGGTTCCCTAAACTAGACTTGTGTGGAATGCCTCCTTTGGTCTGTCATCAGTGGCCTGTCTAGGATCGATAGACACGTGCTCACTTCTCCCCAAGGTAAGTCTCGTAATACCCCCACAGACATATGCTAAACATGGTCTCTAACAAGTGGCACTGTTCCGGGAGGTTCCTGGGAAACTGTCAGAGGTAGGGCCTAGCTGGAGGAAAAGGTCACTGGGGTGTAGCCTCAGGCCATATTTTATCTCAGTGCCTGCCTCTCTGCCACATGTTCCTGCCACCATGGTCCCACCTTACCGTGTTCCCAGAGTCAGTGAAGCCAAGGACTATGGTCTGAAATAGTTCCTTTCTTTCCTTCCGGCTTTCTCTTGGGTATTGTGTCAAGGCAAAAAGAGCCAATTGATAAAGAAAATCAGTACCAAAGAAGTGGGGTTGCTACAGCAGCTATGTGCAATGTGCCTCTTAAGCGTTTGGAGCCGGTTTGCAGAAGGAATTTGAAAGCTTTTGGAGAATGTAGGCTGGGAAAAGCTTAGGCTGCAAAACATAATGGGCGATCCTGGGGTCAGAGCTTAGAGTGCGGTAGGAACACAGATTGCTTAGGTAGCAATGAGGACTCTGTTGAGAACTGGACTAGAGGCCACATGGGCTGCAAATGGCAAGGTCACAGGAATGGGACTTTCCATGCTGGTGACCAGAGATGGCTATGTAAATCAAAGTTTCCTGGTTCCCAGTATCTTGTTCAAATTTGATGCAAACTGTGTTAATTAAGGGGAGAGTCGTTGGAAATTCGTAGCCAAGCATTGGAAACTCTTGACTCATCAGAAGTTTCCAACATTAGAGATAAAGACACACAAAGATGCCAACTCTGTTCCTATTGCAGTAAATAATTAAAGCAGAGAACATTCACACGTTAGGTTTCTCTACAGCTGCTACATTCGATGAAGTAAAATCCTTTCAGGTAGTGGCATCTATTAGAAGAATGATCACAGACGCCGCAAAGAGTGTGTTGGGGTGCTATTTGAGTCTATGTAGAATCGCGTGAGTAATAGGAAGCACCCCAACAGCACACCCTGGAAGTGGTGAGTTCTGGGTGGAAGTGGAGGGGAAAGAGGAACCTTAGGGTGTGTGTGTGTGTGTGTGTGTGTGTGTGTGTGTGTGTGTGTGTGTGTATGTGTGTGTGCCTTCCTTCCCCTGGGACTTGGATTAGAGTGAAGGCATTCCCTGCCAACTCAGCTTGGGGAGCCCTTGAGGTCAGAGAACACTCCTCTTCCAGGAGTCTCTGAGGTTCTTGCAGCAGATCCAACCATCCAGATGGCAGCCAGCGAGGTTCCTCCCTCACTCTGAACACCAGTGTATCACGGATGGTCATCGGGGACTCACACCTTGCTTCCTCCAGACCCTCCCGGCTCCCTTTCTTTTGCCTCAGTTCCAAATAACCAGATCACATGACTTTCAAGTATCATTTCTTTCTTTTTTTTTTCCTACTCCATTCCAAGGGCTGAAATTTATAACAGTTGCAGTGAGTGTGGAGAGCTGGAATCTCAGCCTTCCCAAAGTGTGAGACAATAAAGCCGCCCCCTTTCTGTTTCCCCATAACTCCTCCTCATGCTGGGGACTCTGCTTCTCTTCCTTGTTTCAATATCCCCAGTGAAGAAGTTGGGGTGATGTGGGGGGGGGCGACAAGGAAGACATGGTAGAGCAGGCTCCTAGTGGGTGATATTGCGCCCCTTTTCACACGCCCAGCGGTTCACCTGTCGACAGAAGTTGTCATTCCAGCGGCCATCGGAGAACATTTCGACACAATCTTCACTTCCGCCCTCTTCATGACCCTGCCAGTTATCTGGCTGGGTGGAGGCCCAATTCCTAAGAAGGTAAGCCAAAGAAAACTCAGGGTCCAACCTCCCTACAACCCTGCCTCCCACCCCAAAAAAGCACAGCCTTGGAAGGGTTCAAGGGTTGAAGATGTACAAGCTTGGAAATGGGGGTGTTGAGGAGGAGAAGGTTGAGGAAATAGGCCCCTGTGGGACCTGTAGGTGAAAGGCCAGGTGGTCATCCCTGGAGCAGACAGTAGGAGAGAGATGCACGCGGGAGGGAGGTACTGACTTGTAGTTGTCTCTATATTCGGTTCCGTCCACCCATTTCCAGGAGCCGCCCCTGTCAGTGAGACCTATCCAGGTGTGAAACGGGCCCGTGTGCTTCACAACGAATTTCTAGAAAACAAATGTGAGAGCAGATTGCTTCATCCCTCATCCATGAGAGCATCCTTGTGACCCCACCCCACCCTAGCCTGACCTGCCCCATGCTGAAGCCTCAGCTCCCAACAGCTACCCTGGCTTTTCCCTCTGTGAGCACAGCTAGTGCTAAGTGAACCTTTGCTGGGCTTGACTTTGGACCAAGTGCTTTGCAAGAATCATCTCATTTGAGCCTTAGTAGCTCTCCGAGTTGGTTGCCATAGAGACTCTCACTTTGAGAGGTACATTTTAGAACCCAGAAAGCCAATCCAGTATCTAGCTTGTGACAACATCCTGTTCCCAGCCTGGGCCCACTTCCCACTCCATTCCTAGCACCACTGCTGTGGCAACACGACCTTCCCATCTTGTGCACAGAATCTTGGTGGTCCTGCCCTTGCTGCCCCACAAGCCCCAGAACCCATGAAACACCCTGTTCCATTCTTCTCCTCATTGGCCCCTAGCTCTCTTGCAGGGATGTGGATGTCATTTCCTGAGGTTTGCTGGCTCCAGCACTTCCAAGCTTGGCCTCACTTTCCAGAACTGCATTTGGACCTGACTACATGGGGCCTGACAGTCTCTACTGAAAGTAGGAAGATGTCCGGGTAAAAGGCAGCCGGCTCAGTCAGGAAACTGTCGGGGCTTCAGTGCAAAGGTCCCCGCACTTACAGATGGCTCCTGAGGACTAAAACCTTTCCAAGGTTTTACAAATGTGGCTGTTCCCTCCCAGGAATCTAAATCCCATCTTTTTGGATGGTTACAAGGGAACATATGGTCACCTGGTTTTATAAAATAAGCAGAATCAGTTTGACCAGCATACACTCTAATAATCTCATTTGATAGCATGTGAAGAGTCCCCACCTGCATTTGGAGAAAAACTGCCCGATTCCACTCACTCTCCCCAGAGACCAAGGTTGCTCATCCAAGAGCAGACAGGAGCACCCATAAAGTCTAGAATTCTACATGTGTGTCCAGTTCGTGAAGAAGCAACCACCCAGGCTGGTAAGGCTGCTCCACAGATTTAGAAGTGTCAACAGGGATGGAGTGAAGGGACCTGGAGACGGGATATTCTGGTTGTTGCTACCTGATGCTGTAGCCATCTTCCCATCACAAAGAAACTGAATAACTAAGACAAATGTCCACGATCAAAACCCCCAAGCTCAATGCTCAGAGGAGTCAAATAGTGCTAGATGACCAAAAAATAATAATAATAATAATAGTCCAGATTATTGTCTGCTCTTCCCTACATGAACACAGAAGGAACGGCACCCCTTCACAACAGTGACAGGAGGGAAGTCATCATGGAACTCATGCCCCACCCCAAAGAGAAACCTGAGTGTTTACATGACAACCAGCTATGGCCTGTGTACCAACAGTTGAGCACAAAAGTCATTTGTCCCAAAAACCATTGATTGGGTCATTTTTTGAGGACAACGTACTTACTTTGAAAGTAAGAGGCATGGGGTTGACATTTGTTACCCAAGACTGAGAACCACTAATTTAAAACACAGAGACCCCAAAAATGGTTGGAACTGAAATGATGGACAGAGACTTAAAAAAAAAAAAAAAAAGCAAGGACCACACCCTGTATGTCAGCCAAAGATGAGTTCAAGGCCGGAAGGGTTAAGTGGGATGTTCAGAATGATGGTAGCACAGTCCACCACGAAGCTGTAGTCATGAACTCATGAGCCAAATCTGAGGCTGAGTTACATAAAATTGATGTTTTCATATGTCAAAATTAACTAAATACTAGCAACTTCAACCTAATCAGTAAAGCAAAATATGTTTGAAATTACCATGAAAATCACTTCCATAGCCTGACAGACAGCAAATACTCAATAAATACATTCTGACTTCTGTATCAAATGGTTTAATTTCTTTAGCATCATAACACTTCCAAATCCAAACAGAACGAAGCCCCCATAGACCGTTTAGTATTAAGGCGGCAGGCAGTAGTTGAAAACACTGGACAAAGAGGCCACGTGGGTCTCAATCCTGACTCCACGATGAGTTGCTGGCTCTGTGCACATCACTTGACCTCTCTCTTCCCGGGCGTCCTGAACTCCAAGTGGGAACGATAAGGGTGCCCCCCCAATGGGGTGGTGAGGATTAAAGAAATGAACTCATGAACATGTCCAAATTGCAGTGAGCACTGCAGTCAATGCTATCATTACCCTCCTTGTGCAAAACTGTTGCCCCCACCCTACCAGACGGGTCCCCTCCGTGAACTCCGGTGTTCAGGTTACTGTCTGGGGACAGACAGAGTGGGAAAGGAAGACACGAGGCAGCGCTGGTCAGTGAGGACCTAGACCCACGGCAGGAGAGCAGTTGAAGTCTTCCCATTGTGTTCCTTTGGCCACACCCCACACCCCACACAGCAAGAAGGGACTCTCAAACCCTCCATTGGATTGACTTCCAAATCTTCTAGGCTGGCATTCTGTCCTAGGACTGTCTCTGTAACACCTGGTCACCTGGCCCCTGGCCCCTGCCTCTCCTGGCCCCCGACCCCTGCCTCACCTGGCCCCTGGCCCCTGCCTCTCCTGGCCCCTGGCCCCTGCCTCTCCTGGCCCCTGCCTCTCCTGGCCCCTGGCCCCTGCCTCTCCTGGCTCCTGCCTCTCCTGGCCCCTGCCTCTCCTGGCCCCTGCCTCTCCTGGCCCCTGCCTCTCCTGGCTCCTGCCTCTCCTGCCTCTCCTGGCCCCTGGCTCCTGCCTCTCCTGCCTCTCCTGGCTCCTGCCTCTCCTGGCCCCTGCCTCTCCTGGCCCCCGGCTCCTGCCTCTCCTGGCCCCTGCCTCTCCTGGCCCCCGGCTCCTGCCTCTCCTGGCCCCAGGCTCCTGCCTCTCCTGGCCCCTGGCTCCTGCCTCTCCTGGCCCCCGACCCCTGCTTCTCCTGGTCCCTGACCCCTGCCTCACCTGGCCCCTGGCCCCTGCCTCTCCTGGCCCCTGGCCCCTGCCTCTCCTGGCCCCCGGCTCCTGCCTCTCCTGGCCCCTGGCTCCTGCCTCTCCTGGCCCCCGGCTCCTGCCTCTCCTGGCCCCTGGCTCTCCTGGCTCCTGCCTCTCCTGGCCCCTGGCTCTCCTGGCTCCTGCCTCTCCTGGCCCCCGACCCCTGCCTCTCCTGGCCCCTGGCCCCTGGCTCTCCTGGCTCCTGCCTCTCCTGGCCCCCGACCCCTGCCTCTCCTGGCCCCTGGCCCCTGGCTCTCCTGGCTCCTGCCTCTCCTGGCCCCCGACCCCTGCCTCTCCTGGCCCCTGGCCCCGGGCCCCTGCCTCTCCCCGCCCCTGCCTCTCCTGGCCCCTGGCTCCCACTTCTTAGGACCAGTTACTGTTCCACCCTGAGCCGCCCAGAGCCCTATCACACTCTTCTGTGTTCTTCCTTAGGTGAAATAAGAACTGCATGCAGGAAGAAAACTGCTCTACCTCCCTCCGCAGCCAGGAGTCCTTCGGGGAGGGTTGAGGCTTCCATCCATCCTGGGATCTAGGTTAGCTTGATCTAGTGAAGGTCTTGTGCCTGAAACTACTGCACGACTACTGCACATGAGCACACGTGAATACTGCGTGTTCACGTGTGCAATGGCCGTGTTCACGTGTGCAGTGACCCTGTCACGTCCAGAAACACACTGTTTCCCACCAGTCCTCCACAGCCTCTGACTTTCAGCCCGTGATTGGACACTCACGTTCCAGCGGACGGCCCTATACCTACTCACATACTAGAAACACCAGCTGGACTCATTGGGTTTTAAAAAAGAAGAACTCCGGGCAGTGGTGGTGCATGCCTTTAATCCCAGCACTTGGGAGGCCGAGGCAGGCGGATCTCTGTGAGTTCAAGGCCAGCCTGGGCTACAGAGGGAGTTCCAGGACAGGCTCCAAAGCTACGCAGAGAAACCCTGTCTCAAAAAACTAAAAAAAGAAGAAGGAGAAGGAGGAGAGGAAGAAGAGGAGGAGGAAGGAGGAGGAGGAGAAGGTGTGAAATTGGGAGGACATATGATATGTGATACAGTGGTTCTGGTAGAATTTGGAAGGAAGGTCAAAGAGGGAGTAGATTAAATCGGAACACATTGTATAAAAGTAAGAATTTCATACTTTTATACAATGTGTTCCGGCCTATGCAGGATCGCTTGGCTCGGCCTGGGAGGAGGGGACTGGACCTACTTGGACTGAGTCTACCAGGTTGACCTCAGTCTGTGGGGAAGGCTTTGCCCTGGAGGAGGTGGGAATGGGGGGTGGGCTGGGGGGAAGGTGAGGGGGGCCGGAGGGGGGAGAACAAGGGAATCCGTGGCTGATATGTAGAACTGAATTGTATTGCAAAAGAAAAAAAAAAAAGAAAAGAAAAGAAAGTATGAAATTCTAAAAGGATAATGAAAGAAGAAGAAGAAAGCAAACAAATTAAGTAAATAAATAAGAAATACAAGGGCCAGCGAGATGACTCAACAGATGAACATAAGCCTGATGACCTAAGTTCAATCTCCAGAACTCACATAAAGGAAGAAGGAGAAGACCAGTTCCACAAAGTCATCTTCTGACCTCCATGTGCATGCCATGGCACACACACTCAGTAATAATAATAATAATAATAATAATAATAATAATAATAATAATAATAATAAAGTAAATAGTAATAGGTAACTAACAGAAGCTTCACCAGGCTGCTTGGTCAAACCTGTCTTCAAGTTTGCTCACCTGCTCCTCCCAGGAGTTGATGACCAGCAGGTGTGCACTCTCTAGCTGGCAGTACTCAGCAGCCTCAGCCCAGGTCAGTCCATCCTTTGAAAACCAGTAGCAGCTGCCCCCATGCTCCACCCAGTTAACAGGGCAGCATTCTGTGCCTGAGGGGACAGAAGGGCAGAGGGAAATGAGATCCAGCTGGAGGAAACAGACACTAGAATCAGAGCCGTCCCTGTCCCCCGCCCCCATCCCCGTCTCTACCATTGCTCTGGAAGAAGGCCAGCTGACAGCTCAGGGTTCGAAAATCCAGCGGGAAGTGCTTCAGGTGCAGGAGCAAGGTGGAGTGATCTAAGGGACAAACACATGGACAGAGATGCAGCGGACATGCGGCTCCACACCTGCCAAGACCAGGCACAGAACTCCAGCTACTGTCTGGGGAAACACACAGATGCATACTACACCACACATCACCATCACCCAGAAGTGGGGGCTGTGGAAACACACAGATACATACCACACCACACATCACCATCACCCAGAAGTGGGGGCTGTGGAAACACACAGATACATACCACACTACACATCACCATGACCAGAAGTGGGGGCTGTGGAAACACACAGATACATACCACACTACACATCACCATGACCAGAAGTGGAGGTTGGAGAAACACCCAGATACACACACTACACATCACCATGACCCAGAAGTGGGGGTTGGAGAAACACACAGATACATACCACACTACACATCACCATGACCCAGAAGTGGGGGCTGTGGAAACACACAGATACATACCACACTACACATCACCATGACCCAGAAGTGGGGGTTGGAGAAACACACAGATACATACCACACTACACATCACCATGACCCAGAAGTGGGGGCTGTGGAAACACACAGATACATACCACACTACACATCACCATGACCCAGAAGTGGGGGTTGGAGAAACACACAGATACATACCACACTACACATCACCATGACCCAGAAGTGGGGGCTGTGGAAACACCCAGATACATACCACACTACACATCACCATGACCCAGAAGTGGGGCTTGGGGGTGACCTCTGACCTGCTCTCAGGTCCTGCTGCTTTTTCTCCAGTGTGGCTCCCCAGGATGTCAATTTGTCATCTCTGCTACCTCCTGAGAGAAGGAATGGTAAATGGCTTCCCCGTCAGTCTGCCTCCCAAATGCTTTTCCAGACGCACACTCCTGGGTACCCAGAAGGTTCTGTTACATTTCCCCACATGCTGCTTATCTATGCCTAGACTCCCAGCCTCACCCAAGTGAGGCCGCTGTGCTGCTTAAATTCTTTCACTGGCTCCCCACGTTTTCAGGCCAAGCCCGACTCAGTCCACACAGCTTGCCGTGTGACCTGGTCCCTCCATCTCTCTGACCCATCACCGCTGTCCATCAGTCACCACCTCCGGCCACACTGAAAGTGTACTCGGTCCTAAAATGTAGAGTGGTCTTCTTTACCTTTGACCATCATGGCTTCTTGTTTCTATCTGGCACTAACCACCATCATATCACCTCATGCCCAGATTCACCCTCCAAGCCCCTTCAGTCATGAACCACGTCTCCAGAAGCCTTGCCAGTTCCCCTGGCTGGATTGTCTCCCTGGTTTTTATCCCCACAGGCCATGAACACACTCCGACTGCAGACCCAGCACCATGCCCAGCAAGTCTGGATGGATAAACATACGTGGATAAAGCGTTCCTATGGATAAAGTCCCAGTCATCTTGCCCAACTCACCGTGGGAATCCAGAGCCCTGAACTCCATCAGGGTGCTGGAGGAGAAGTTGCTGAAATTTTCTTTCAGGGTCCGAAACTCCTCTTGCAGCCGCATGCCTTGTCAGGGGACATTTGGGACCAGTTAGGTGTGGGGCTGTGTCACAGTGTCATATCACTGTCCTTGTGACTGACCCCATATAACCCATCACTACTACCATCAATGATCCAGTCGTTTCCACACCATTGATTTCCGTCTGCACCCGGACCCTGCTGCCCCAAGCTGCCTCCACCTCTTCTCCTTTTCCTCCCCCCATCTGTGCCCCGCCACTCCCCAGAGCACTTCTCTATCCTGGCCTCATCCCTGCCAGCCATGACCTCACTTTGCGATGAAATCACACAGACGACCACCAGCAGCAGGACATTGAAGGCCAGGGCAAGCAGACTGAGGTAGAGCCTGAAGCTGAGGCACTGTGGAAAGGGCGGGGAAGGAGGCTGCCCTGTGAGAGGAGAGAGAGTGTGTGTCAGAAAACAATTCCAGAGGACGAGAGACAGAGAACAAGACTCAGAAGGAAACATGGGGCACGTGAGTCTGAGGAGGCACAGCCTGGGTAAGGGAAAAAATCAGGTGGGGGCTGAGGGAATTGGATGGATTTTGATTCTACACACACACACACACACACACACACACACACACACACACACACAGTTACACACATGCATCCACATGAACACGTTCAAGCACTCACTTGCACATGCTACAAGATGAACCAGCTGTATACACAGGTGAGATCTTACACCTGGGGACTGGAGACACAGAGAAGACAGAGGTGCAGAACTGGCCTTTCCTAGACACCCTAAAAAAGGAGGTCTACCAATGGTTTTTTCTTCCTGCCCATGAGTCAAAGAGACCTACAGATCACCTCTGTCCTTCCATGGCCCCTGTCCCTTCAGACTGGAGTGTTGACAGGCTAGATCATGTGCTCTTCTTAGACAATGCCCACATCCGTCACACAAGCCCAATACTGGAACAATGCCTTCCTTCACAATTCCACTGGGATTCTCCAGCCCAACTCATCCCGCCATAAAGTATGCCCCAAAAGCCACTTTCCAGGTCCATCCACTTTACCCATCTCCCCGCAACTCCCACCACCCCTGTTCTCATCCCCAAATGTCACTGGCAGAGCTGTCCCTTTGTCCTTCCATCATCTCTCAGTGGCCTCTCCTGCGCCTTTATCCATCTGCCCCACACTCACACCTACTTCTTTTTACTCTAACAAGCACACAGACTCGAAGACTTGTGCACACATCCATACACTTTGCCACACAGTTATTTGCAACCTCACGCACCTGTATCTTCACCTGCATGAACTGGCTTGCCTCTCCAGAGCCAGAGGCGTGACTCCTCTCACCCCTCCCCTTGCTTTTGTACCATCTACCTGTACCCAGACTCCTCTGCATCAGCCTGTGGCTCTGTAGCCTTCTCTGTGTCCATGTCACCATGCCAAAGCAAGCTCACATCCAGGGGATCATCTCAGTCAGGAGCCAGGAATCCTCCTGAGGTCATTTCCCACTGCTATACTGAGTCAGACGTTTGCAGCCATACTTAGGGCCCCAATTTAACCTAGAGTTCTCCCCAACCCCAAACCCCTAAGCACAGCCTCCCCTGCTTCTCACCGCCCCTGACACCCTTCTGAAACCTGCATCCCTCTCTGCTGTGATTGGAATGTGCCCCCAACATTATCCCCACTGCAGCGGTGTTGGGAGGTAGGGCCTAGTGGAAGGTGGGTAGGTCTTGAGAACTCTGCCGTCCTGAGTGGATTGTTGACATCATTGCAAGAGAGCAGCCTTATTAAGAGCTAACGGGGACAATTGGGGTCCAGCCCCCTCGATAGTCCTCTCCCAGGGTCCAGGAAAAATCCACAACCAGCTGATAATCTAATCTTGGACGATATTAAATGAATCTATGTACACGAAACTCTTTTGGCCATATACTTTATTCTTCTCAGTCAGTTCTCTCTCTGCACGGCTTCTATTTTGCTCTTACTTAGCTCCTTTCTTGCCTATTTCTCTCTACATTTAATGCTGTTCCCCCATCTTAATCCCTTCCTCTATTTCTGCCTCATCTTGGTTCTCATCCATCTTGTTCTTCCCGATCTTAGCTCCTCTTCCTCCTTAGTTCCTCTCTCTAATCTTCTAAGTTCTCTCTCATTCTTTCCTTCTCCTTACTTCTTCCCATCTTGTTCTTACCCACCTAGTTCTTCCCCGTCTGGCTCTTCCTTGTCTTCCATTTCATTCCTCTAGTCCTCTCCTCTAGCCCCGTCAATCTAGTTCTCCTGTATCCAGTTCTCCTCTACCTAGTTCTGCTCTATCTAGTTCTCCTGAATCTAGTTCTGCTCTATCTAGTTCTGCTCTATCTAGTTCTCCTCTATCTAGTTCTCCTCTATCTAGTTCTGCTCTATCTAGTTCTCCTCTATCTAGTTCTGCTCTATCTAGTTCTCCTCTATCTAGTTCTCCTGTATCTAGTTCTCCTCTATCTAGTTCTCCTCTATCTAGTTCTCCTCTATCTAGTTCTGCTCTATCTAGTTCTCCTCTATCTAGTTCTGCTCTATCTAGTTCTCCTCTATCTAGTTCTCCTCTATCTAGTTCTGCTCTATCTAGTTCTCCTCTATCTAGTTCTGCTCTATCTAGTTCTCCTCTATCTAGTTCTCCTCTATCTAGTTCTCCTGTATCTAGTTCTCCTCTATCTAGTTCTCCTCTATCTAGTTCTCCTCTATCTAGTTCTGCTCTATCTAGTTCTGCTCTATCTAGTTCTGCTCTATCTAGTTCTCCTCTATCTAGTTCTCCTCTATCTAGTTCTGCTCTATCTAGTTCTCCTCTATCTAGTTCTCCTCTATCTAGTTCTGCTCTATCTAGTTCTCCTCTATCTAGTTCTCCCGTATCTAGTTCTCCTCTATCTAGTTCTGCTCTATCTAGTTCTGCTCTATCTAGTTCTCCTCTATCTAGTTCTCCTCTATCTAGTTCTGCTCTATCTAGTTCTCCTCTATCTAGTTCTGCTCTATCTAGTTCTGCTCTATCTAGTTCTCCTCTATCTAGTTCTGCTCTATCTAGTTCTCCTCTATCTAGTTCTCCTCTATCTAGTTCTCCTCTATCTAGTTCTGCTCTATCTAGTTCTGCTCTATCTAGTTCTGCTCTATCTAGTTCTCCTCTATCTAGTTCTGCTCTATCTAGTTCTCCTCTATCTAGTTCTCCTCTATCTAGTTCTCCTCTATGTAGTTCTGCTCTATCTAGTTCTCCTGTATCTAGTTCTCCTGTATCTAGTTCTCCTCTATCTAGTTCTCCTCTATCTAGTTCTCCTCTATCTAGTTCTCCCGTATCTAGTTCTCCTGTATCTAGTTCTCCTCTATCTAGTTCTGCTCTACCTAGTTCTGCTCTATCTAGTTCTCCTGAATCTAGTTCTGCTCTATCTAGTTCTCCTCTATCTAGTTCTCCTCTATCTAGTTCTGCTCTATCTAGTTCTCCTCTATCTAGTTCTGCTCTATCTAGTTCTCCTCTATCTAGTTCTCCTGTATCTAGTTCTGCTCTATCTAGTTCTGCTCTATCTAGTTCTCCTCTATCTAGTTCTCCTCTATCTAGTTCTCCTCTATCTAGTTCTGCTCTATCTAGTTCTCCTCTATCTAGTTCTCCTGTATCTAGTTCTCCTCTATCTAGTTCTCCTGTATCTAGTTCTCCTCTATCTAGTTCTCCTCTATCTAGTTCTCCTCTATCTAGTTCTCCTGTATCTAGTTCTCCTCTATCTAGTTCTCCTCTATCTAGTTCTCCTCTATCTAGTTCTCCTCTATCTAGTTCTCCTCTATCTAGTTCTTCTCTATCTAGTTCTCCTCTATCTAGTTCTCCTCTATCTAGTTCTCCTGTATCTAGTTCTCCCGTATCTAGTTCTGGTCTATCTAGTTCTGCTCTATCTAGTTCTCCTCTATCTAGTTCTGCTCTATCTAGTTCTCCTCTATCTAGTTCTCCTCTATCTAGTTCTGCTCTATCTAGTTCTCCTCTATCTAGTTCTCCTGTATCTAGTTCTCCTCTATCTAGTTCTCCTCTATCTAGTTCTCCTCTATCTAGTTCTGCTCTATCTAGTTCTCCTCTATCTAGTTCTGCTCTATCTAGTTCTCCTGTATCTAGTTCTTCTCTATCTAGTTCTCCTGTATCTAGTTCTCCTCTATCTAGTTCTCCTCTATCTAGTTCTCCTCTATCTAGTTCTCCTGTATCTAGTTCTCCTCTATCTAGTTCTGCTCTATCTAGTTCTGCTCTATCTAGTTCTCCTCTATCTAGTTCTCCTCTATCTAGTTCTCCCGTATCTAGTTCTGGTCTATCTAGTTCTCCTCTATCTAGTTCTCCTCTATCTAGTTCTGCTCTATCTAGTTCTCCTCTATCTAGTTCTCCTCTATCTAGTTCTGCTCTATCTAGTTCTCCTCTATCTAGTTCTCCTCTATCTAGTTCTCCTCTATCTAGTTCTCCTCTATCTAGTTCTGCTCTATCTAGTTCTCCTGTATCTAGTTCTCTCTATCTAGTTCTCCTCTATCTAGTTCTGCTCTATCTAGTTCTCCTCTATCTAGTTCTGCTCTATCTAGTTCTGCTCTATCTAGTTCTCCTCTATCTAGTTCTCCTGTATCTAGTTCTCCTCTATCTAGTTCTCCTGTATCTAGTTCTCCTCTATCTAGTTCTGCTCTATCTAGTTCTCCTCTATCTAGTTCTCCTCTATCTAGTTCTCCTCTATCTAGTTCTCCTCTCTCTAGTTCTCCTCTATCTAGTTCTCCTGTATCTAGTTCTCCTCTATCTAGTTCTGCTCTATCTAGTTCTCCTCTATCTAGTTCTGCTCTATCTAGTTCTGCTCTATCTAGTTCTCCTCTATCTAGTTCTCCTCTATCTAGTTCTCCTCTATCTAGTTCTCTCTATCTAGTTCTCTCTATCTAGTTCTCCTCTATCTAGTTCTGCTCTATCTAGTTCTCCTCTATCTAGTTCTCCTCTATCTAGTTCTCCTCTATCTAGTTCTCCTCTATCTAGTTCTGCTCTATCTAGTTCTCCTCTATCTAGTTCTCTCTATCTAGTTCTCCTCTATCTAGTTCTGCTCTATCTAGTTCTCCTCTATCTAGTTCTGCTCTATCTAGTTCTGCTCTATCTAGTTCTCCTCTATCTAGTTCTCCTCTATCTAGTTCTCCTCTATCTAGTTCTCTCTATCTAGTTCTCTCTATCTAGTTCTCCTCTATCTAGTTCTGCTCTATCTAGTTCTCCTCTATCTAGTTCTCCTCTATCTAGTTCTCCTCTATCTAGTTCTCCTCTATCTAGTTCTGCTCTATCTAGTTCTCCTCTATCTAGTTCTCCTGTATCTAGTTCTCCTGTATCTAGTTCTGCTCTATCTAGTTCTCCTGTATCTAGTTCTCCTCTATCTAGTTCTCCTCTATCTAGTTCTCCTCTATCTAGTTCTGCTCTATCTAGTTCTCCTCTA